GAGTATTATTTAGATTAAAATTAGGAGTCCTTTGAATTTCATATATTAATTTTCATAAAATAGCAGCATTGCAAAACTTAAATTTCTCATAAAGCTTTTGGTGTATTTATCTGATTCTTTAAAAGCCTTTTTTATTCCTCAGAGAAAAATTTTAGTTATTTTTAATGAATCTATGTGTACCAGTTGCACAGTGCACTTTAATTGTGATTTTTATAATTACATGATATTCAACTATTTTATGATTATTTACTGGTACTTAATTGTTTAAACATGGACAAGATGAATAAAGCATTATCAACATTACTTGTTTAAGATTATTAGTTTTACATATTCAGAAATACAAATATTTTTGTGATTTACATAGCTTTTCACCTGGATAAAATTGTATTTCTAATAATATAGTTAACATATTTGATTCATATTCTAATTTTGTCATGATTGCATTACTGAGGTAAATTATACTAGACCCATTTGTAACAGGCACTATGATTCAATTCCCATTACTGTGTACCTAAAGTATGACATTCGTATTCTGTGTTTCTTTCTTCATTTCTTCCTGGATGAACGAATGCACTCAAACACCAACATTCAGTGAAAGAGCAGCCTAGGGGACCATGGTCACTCACAGACACTCAAGGAAGGTGCTATCAGGAGTCAGCAGCCATGGCCCTGACTCACTGGCCTTGCCAGGCCTTTGTTCAGCACATATTAAATGACAAAGCCTTTGAGTCAACACCATTAAAGAATAAGCAACCTGTTCGCCTTCCCCCTGAGAGAGTCATCTGGCTCCTGAATGATTAAAGGTTACTTTTAGGGCCACATGAGTAAACCAGTTATTTTGATAAACTCCCTTACATTCTTTTGTTATTTACTCTTGCTATCAGCTCAAAGAGATTTATGTTGCCTTCAGCCATAAGTCTATTCTGAGGCGTTTGCAAAAACTTCTGGCCTTCTAAAAAGGTTGTGACAATTTCCTATAACTATCTTTATTATTTCTCTTACAACACTTCCTGAGTTTTTCTTACCTTTCTATAAGCATACACCTGACGGGTTTGTTGATCCTGCCTTACCAGGCAGGCCAAGAGCTCCCCTTCTAATGCAGGGTCCATGGCTCTAGTGTATTCCTTGTCTTTTTTCATATCTATTGGAGAAGGGGGCTCAGGCAGAACCACTGTTTCCTCTTTCTTGGCCTGGTGATGATGTTCCTGGGACCTGTTGCCCTTGAGCATGATGCTGTTTAAGATTTCTCCCCACCTGTTTCCAGAGCTTTATGTTTAGTGTACTTTCTGCTGGGAACCTTGGGCTTTGGGAAACAGTTTGCATTAGGTTCCTTAACTGAGCCTGTGAAACTGAGGCTCCACTAGTTTTAAGCAGCGGTTTCAATACTTTATGTTTCTGTTGAGCTGCTGTTGTCCCATGATGAAACTCTAGCATGATCAATCCCCCGCAAACATGGTAATTCCAAGTGGGTCCCAGTGACTTACTGACTCACTCACTTAATTGACTTACTGACTTACCAACTACACAGTCCTTTTCAACTTCAATATCAGGGTTTCCATTGCAATCCTTTGTAGCTTCCTCCTCATACAGGACACCAGCTGTCGGGGGTCCAACCTGCAGACGCTGACCCAGCCATGGATGAACAAATGAACTCCTGATATTCAGTGAAAGAATAGGTTAGGTGTCCAAGGCCACTCACAGACACACAAGGAAAAGTTCCGCGAAGAGCTAGCATCTGTAGCCCCAGCTCACTGGCCTTGCTGGTCATTATTCAGCACACATTAAATGACAAAGGCTTGAGTCAACAGCATTAGAGGGTAATCAACCTAATTGCCTTTCCCAAACACCCCCTGCCTCCCAGAGAGTCATCTGGCTCATGAATGATTAAAGATTAATTTTAAAGCCACATGAGTAAACAAGTTTTTTAGATAAACTCCCTTACATTCCCTTGTTATTTACTCTTGCTATTAGCCTATAGAGAATTAGACTGCCTTCAGCCATAAGTCTATTCTGAGGCTCTTGCAAAACCTTCTGGCCTTCCAAGAAGGTTTGTGACTATTTCGTATATCTATCTTTTTAATTTGTCTTACCACTCTTCCTACCACTCTGAATGAACACCCACGCATTAGTAGTAAACAAATTAATAAAAATGCTGAGGTGCGGTGACAACTATCGCATGGCGTTAGAAACACTTTCCAGTTATAACTTCACTGCCGTGATTTTCATAGTGTTGAAGAGTAGGGTCAAACGTGAGTGCCACATAAATCTTTTGTGGCAACGAAATACCTCTGACATTGTAGAACAAAAGCAGCCAGGTTAATATGTAAATAAATAAGTGTGATTATTTTCTAACAAAATGTTAGTATTAATATGGAAGTTCAATTCATATAACTTTTATGTGTCACAAAGAATTAAACCTTATTTGAAATTTTCAATAATTAAAAAATTTCTTAAAAAGCATTTCTAACTATTGGCCTGTATGAACACAGGTTGTCAGATCTGAGTGACAGACCTTTATTTGTTAGCCCTTATGTTAATTTAATCTCTTCCTGAAGACAATGTCAATTTGACACACACTTCTTTTTCCCCCTACTTTTCCTGAGCTGTAGACAGACATTTCATTGAGTCATAGGAACTTGAAATCTTTCTCGAAACCTCAAGCTTGACCAACACTGACACTGCCTAATGAACTATCACAGTCACTATTCTTAGCAAATTTTTGCCAAGGTATAGGGATGTTTCATTTGCAGTCCCCATATCGGCTTTCTTGGTGTACAACTTCCGACCACTGAGTAATGTCCTGAATTTCACTTTCTGTGTTGTCATTATAACATATATTTTTCTTGGAGCACCATCCTTCAAAGTATCCATTTCAATTGGATATCAACTAGGTTAATTGCTTAAAAATGCTGAAAACCTGTAATTATTTATTGCAACAAAAGTTTGTATCTTTACTCCAAATAAGATAATACAATTTGGTGGGAAGGTGGTCTTCAAACATTGTCTTTGTCATCATATTCTCCTTTATCCCACATGTAACAGAGAAGAATAAAGAGATGGACACACAGGAGGCTTCATCTGCAATGCAAGGAAATTGTGCATGTTTCTTCTTCTGCCTTTCCATCGATTAGCCATACAATAAGATTAAAGTAAAATCAAGAGTTTGTGAACAGCTATCCTTCTTCAGTATGCAATCTAGCTAGTAAGATATTTTTTGCCTTCTACACCAAAATAAGTTACAATTATCCTGAAATGTCAAAACTGTTAGACCAGAATAGTACAACTCTTTTCAATTTATTTAGAGATCAAATGATTGAGGCTTTGGCATGTGTGTAATTCAATGTTTTCAATTACTCTAATCATTAATACAGTGTGTGCATAGAATTCCAATGAAATTCCATATTCCTTCCACTGGCAAGCTTTTAATTCAACTTAATTCAATTAAAGTCAGCTCAATTCAACTCTTCTTCCCCAAAGCTTGTTACTGGTATGCCTCATCACCAGGTCTGATTGTAATACATTCCAAAGTTTGGCTGCTAAAAGTGCCTCCCTCTTTTACTACATATTTATTCTCCCTGTATTTGGGGCCTTACATCTTATATTTGTGTCATCAGTCACTAAAATCTTATCAGTTTCTAAATTTTTTGAAAATATAGGAAAATGTATAATTTTACTTTGATTCTTTCATTTTGAATTAAATATATTTTTACCCTATTTTTTTGATAGTACTTGGGTATGCAGTGGAGGAGAATTTGTGCTAACTTTTCCATTTCAAAGATATATTTGCCTTTGAGTAAATTCAGAATAAAATATTTTTAAAATAAATTGTTCACCATTATAGAAAAAAATCACGAATCTATTTGGATTAGATTGAAATAGAATATGAACGTAAAAGAAGTTGGAGTTATTAGAATATATGACTCCATGTTCTTTAAATCACATTTTTTATGTGTATTTTACATTATAATGTAATAAAATGTGTTACTACCAAACATACATGCTTTTGTTACTAATTTTTCCAAAAGTTATCATTGAGAAATATTTTCTTAAAATAAATTTTAATTGTATATACATATACATACACATGCACAACAGAAAAGGTTACTAATTTTTCCAGAAGTTATCATTGACAAACCTTTTTCTTAAAATAAATTTCAATTATATACACACACACACACACCAGAAAAAGGTGGATTTACAGATGTATTTCTTAATTATTTCAATTTCTAGAAGTGATATATTTAATGCTTCCGCAATTGCAGTTTAAAAAAAAATTCAGTAAATTGAGTGATATAAGATATATTTGTTCAATGTCAAAATAAATGTGTGGTTGATTGAGTTGCATCTCAAATATGGAATACAGAGTTCACCTGATGGAAAATAAAGTTGAGCTGACAGGAGTGATGTTGATTGATCAGTAGTCATTATTAAAACACCAACCAACCAAGCAAAAGCAGACGCAATCATAAAACATATAATGTCAAAAAAGAGAAGATTGAGACACCACCCCATCCAACAATTTTTCTTTAACTTATATAAATGATAAGTCCACTGAGTAGAATAATTTGTACAAAATCACATTACTTAGTAATTAAATGAATAAAGAAAACAAATATCTCCTTATGAGATTACCATACACTGCTTTGCTTTTTATTTTATTACATTTTCTTTCTTATGCAATAAATTATTTTTAACTACAACAATTGTTCCACAGGAGCCTGGGATCTGACACACTGGATCTTGTGAACAGCCTCACTGCTCCATTCAGACACTATGGCCAAATAGATGCATTGACACACAGGTAAAAGGGATGGTGAAGCACCACGGACAAATAACAGCAGAAGATTGGAAAATGCATTTAGGACAGAAAGGACAAAGGGAGTGAACGGTGTTGCCAGAACTAGACCTTTTATTATTTCTTTTTCCTAGAGCATTGTTGGAATATTTTATTTAAAATAGGTTTTATAATTTTTGTAAAGCAAATTTTTATGCTTTGCTTCATAATTTTGAATATTTGTTTAACTCCATTTTTAACACATGCAATAATACATGGCAGAGACAGTGTCATATTTATTTTCACATTTTTCTAATACTAAAAATGTGATTTGGCTCATAGTGAGTGCTCAATATCTATTGACGTCATTACATATTACATATCGATAATATTTACATTTATTTGAGTTTCAGAAATTATATTTTATGAAGCTGAGTTTATTAAAGTATTCATGTTTTGAGAACTATGACATTAAAGAAATGTTATTTCATCAAGTCATTTCCAAACATGATATTATTGTCAAAGAAAATTGTGCACCAGGCAAAATAAACAGGTTAGAAGGACTTTAAGACTATTGCATAAAGAGGAGATATTGAACTGAACACAGTGGATAAAAAGGAGGGGGAGTTTTTTTAGCACGGGGTGATCTAGTGAAAAGTACTGGAGGACATAATAAGAGAGGCTGGTAATGTGATGAGTCATTCTGTCTTTGCTAATTGGCAGTTTTCAATTTTTAGCTCTTGCTCTCTCACAGGAGAATTGACTGCATTTCAAAGAGATGGCTCTCAGGTCCTTGAGAAAGGCATTGCTTGCTTGTAAAACCACTAGAAGCCTGTGAAAAGATTTATATGCCAATGACAAGGAGACAAAATTTACAATTCAACTTTTCTAAATAAATGCTCTCTAAAAAAGGGAGGTCAGAGACCTGTAATGAGAAAAAAATCTGTCTAAAATTTACTCAATCACGGGAATATGAAGGCTGCTTTGATTACTATATAACATGTACTGAGTTAAAAAAATTAAAAGAGCAAATAATTATTTGCTTTAATAAAGAATAATCACTACAGGTAGGATTTTTAATTAATATCATGTAGGTATTTGTCCACAGAGTTCTTCAAGAGAACTAATGTCCCATGGTGAAGAATAAGAAAATTCTGACATAATTTATATAAAATTTTACAGTTCTTATGGAAAGAACATAGTTGATATTTTTCTCCCAGAACCAGTTTTAAAACATAAAGCTAAGAATAAAAATATAATACAAAGAATAAAAACCTCTGAACTAATATCTATTCCTAGTATAACACTAAAATCTACATAATGTGAAAAAACATATTAATTCTCAAAAGCATTTTTTACAACTGCTGTGTGATTTCTAATTTCTTCTCATTATTCCTTATATGATTATTCATTTACATTAAGAGCAAAAACATAGCTAGAGATGGAAATAAAAGAGGAGATAAAATAAGAAATGAGCGCATTCTAAAAGAGAACATTAGCAAATATGTTGTGTGAAAATGAATAAAATAAATGCATTTACAGTCACGCGTGGCTTAATGACAGGGACACATTCTGAATAATGCAACCTTAGGTGATTTCACTGAGCGAACATCATAGAGTTATAGAAGGTAATTATAGAAACCTAGATTTTTTAGCAGACTACACACTTGGGCTACATTCTATAGACTATTGCCCCTTGGCGATAAGCCTGTACAACATCTTATAAAAAAGACTTCTGTAGACAATTGTAACACAGTGTTGACTATCTGTGTATCTAAATAGGTTTAAACATAGAAAAAAGTGCAGTAAAAATACGATATCATCTTTGGGGATCACCATTACATGGTGGTCTATTATTGATGAAAATATCATTATGCAGCAAATAACTGTATTTCTTAACTCCTGCAGTCTCCTAATTTTGAGCAATAATTTGAAAGAAACACTTTATTTCTTTGTCTTCATATATTTATACACATATATATTTATATATAAAAGCCCTCTACATGCACTATACATTAGATGCTGTGTATAGTGGTTATAGCTGTGTCACATAAAAATGAATTAACTTGCTAGATGTATTTTATAAAGAAAGTTGAAAATATATTTGGATTAACGTTGGAAATATTTGTTTTTGGAACTTTTCATGGAAAGGAACACATTTGAAGGAAAATAACTTTAGAAAATATAACTGGTAGGGTGAATACAGAAATGTGGTATATGAATATATTTTAACAGTGGTTTTAATTGTACCTTAAACACACCTCTCATACTCAGAGGAAAGATATTTGTGGTTATTGTTATTTTCTTTTTTGGATTAAAAAGAGTTTATACTTTTTTATTCTTCTGTTTAGTATTATTACTATAAAACAAGCAACAGTTTATAAAATGAATTTTGATCAGAAATCTTAAAGACATGGGCAGCTCTGTTACCTAATGTGCTAACAGAGGGCAGAACATGAAGAGGTGGCAAAAGGAGTATGTTGTGATTACCGACATAGGGTTGTGCTGGGATTTGGTCTAGGCGCTGTAACATCTATGTTTTACATAAGTTAATTATCCTCACCACCACTAGCTCTCTTTCTGAAATCTGATTTGAAGAACACTGGTAATGACTATTATGTTAGATTTTAGTTTGGAGCAAGACTTGATTGTGATCCACCTATCAATGATAAAACAAAATTGATGATAATGGATCTTTGTGAATTATTCTTATCAGGAAAACACTGTATTTAATCTGAAAATATAGAATAGATGATAAGAAACAAGACAGGCATTGTGTCAGGTATTGTCTACTTGACTTACCACGTCCACTCTGCACTCTTCTTGATCCTGCTCTCTTCCCTGAAGGACTGATGGTATGAACTGTGTCAATGTGTTCTCATGCCTTTTGACTTCAAAATTGGTATTAGCCTTTTAAGACTCACAGGTGAACATCAGAAAATAGGAGGAGAAATATCAAAGTATTGACTTATCTGGCTTCCTTCGAAAATAAGCGTTAAAAAATTGTGTGTTAATGAATGAAGCAAATAAAAATATAAAAAATTATAAAATTGTCTATAATTAGGAATATTTTCTATGACTTTCTGGGTTAGAAATATAGAACATATACTTACAAAAGCAAATTAATACTTTATCAATAACATTTTATGATATATTTTCCTGTTTTAATATTAAGAACCATCATCAATCCACCAAAATGATGTGTATACTATGAAGTAAGTGTTAATGACCTATCATAAACTTGCTTTTGGAAACAGATGATAATAGAATATGAATTCTAATAAAATTAGTTACTTATAAGTCCGTATTATTTCTTTTGTCTGATGCATATTAAGTTAAACAATAGGTTAGAAATGCCTTAATCCCTTCCCCAATAAGGAAAAATGTTAATGATTTAGTTTGTTGGTTTTTGTTATTTTCCAGATAAATTTTCCTGTCTTTTTATATGAAAAATAGAGGTGAGAAAGTGACAAAAAGAAGCACACACAAAAAAAATCACCACAAAATACCTTAGGCAAGGAATAAAATAAAATTCATTTAATTATGAGTAAAGAAGGGGTGCTTAGACGTCTGAAACCAATGAGACCAGCAAAGTTGCCAGTAATCTCCCTTTCAATCCTGTTTCCTTGTGTGTGTGAGCCTTTTTTTTTTAATTCAGAAAATCTCTTTCCACTTATTTCTGAACATAGGCAACAGTAGTCGTTAGAAAGCAATGCCTTTATTGTCTACTCCTAGAACAATCAACTGTAGACGGAGATCCATAGTTACACAGTGTGAAGCAGAACTTTAATTGTAATGTTTTAGTTGTAATAGGGAGATGGGTTGGAAAGGGAAGCTGATGTTGTTAAAAGAGACACTTCCATTCTGAGAGTAACAGAAAATTGCTAGGCAGAGTCAACAGTAGACACTCAACAGAGGATAGAAGATGCGGAAATAGTCCAGCATGTATTTTTATCCAAAACAAAATGTTTTAAATGTAGTAGAATTGCTATCTACATGCAGTATAATTCCCCACATTATCTTTTTTTTATTGCACTTTAGGTTTTGGGGTACATGTGAAGCACATGCAAGACTGCTGCATAGGTACACCCATTGCAGTGTGATTTTCTGCTTTCCTCCCCATCACCTATATCTGGTATTTCTCCCCATGTTATCCCTCCCAAACTCGCCACCCTCTGCTGTCCCTCCCCTATTTCCCCCCAACAGATCCCAGTGTGTAATGCTCCCCTCCCTGTGTCCATGTGTTCTTCTTGTTCAACACCTGCCTATGAGTGAGAACATGCGGTGTTTGATTTTCTGTTCTTGTGTCAGTTTGCTGAGATAATGGTTTCCAGGTTCATCCATGTCCCTACAAAGGACATTAACTCATCATTTTCTATGGCTGCATAGTATTCCATTGTGTATATGTGCCACATTTTTCCTGTCCAGTCTATCATTGATGGGCATTTGGATTGGTTCCAAGTCTTTGCTATTGTAAACAGTGCTGCAATGAACTTTCCTGTGCGTGCGTCCTTATAATAGAATGATTTATAATCCTTTGGATATATACCCAGTAATTGGATTGCTGGGTCAAATGGAATTTCTATATCTGGGTCCTTGAGGAATCACCACACTGACTTCCACAATGGTTGAACTAATTTACACTCCAACCGGCAGTGTAAAAGTGTTCCTATTTCTCCACATCCTTTCTAGCATCTGTTGTCTCCAGATTTTTTAATGAACACCATTCTAACTATAATGAGATGGTATCTCAATGTAGTTTTGATTTGCGTTTCTCTAATGACCAGTGATGATGAGCATTTTTTCATATGTCTGTTGGCCTCATATATGTCTTCTTTTGTAAAGTGTCTGTTCATATCCTCAGGCAACTTTTGAATGGGCTTGTTTGTTTTTTTCTTGTAATCCCCACATTATCTTCAAGTGCTTTGGAAGCATGCATGTTGCATGTTTTATGTGGAGAGAGCAGTAAAGAGTAAAGATGGTGCAACAGCAAGGGTGGGAGCAGGAAAAGGTATCACTGAATTAAAGCACACATAGATTGAAAACAAATAAGTTGAAAATAAAACACTTTATTTTACAGAAGAAAACTTGTCCGTTGCTTTACCAGTATTTTAATACATTCAGAAAGAAAGTGTTTTCTTTGAAAACCTTCCTCTGATAGATTTGTAGATCCTGCTAATATCAAAAAGAGGTTGTACCTTTTCTCTTCATACACTGGAGACTTGATGGAACTACACTCATTTATCTATAGTTTCACTTTATAATAATGTTTAAACGTCCAGGGTAAAAAAAGAGTCTCTTTTTTCTTAATGATGCTATAAAGGGCAAGGTGGAATGACAGAGTTGAATCATGGTTTTGATTCCTTTCCTTTTGTAAACAGCTCAGTTTGCACAACAAAATGCTCAGTCAAGACATAAATCTATCTCTTCTTTAAAAATCACGATCTGTAAACACTGTGATTTTATGCACTCACTGTTGCTAAACTTTCCCTTTACATTTCTGGTAACAGGTTTCATGTAGGATAAACTGTGACACCAAAAATGGACCATGGTGCTGTTCCATTTATTTTATTTTATATAGTCAGAAAATTAGGCTTTTAAAGTAATTGCTACATTTCTGTGGTGGCTTTTACAAAGTCAAGTATTACTCTTATATATAGAATAGAATTCAATTCAATTACCAAATGGCTTATTTAAATAACTGATTATATTTTACATATAAATCTATATAGGTACTTTCTTCTGTTTGATGCTTTTTAAAGATATCTATAATAACTGTTTGAAAGCTAATTTTTGTTTATTCAACATTATCTATATGCCACTATCTATAAA